ATTTTGCCGTCACCACCCTCCACCCTTTCCCCACAGAAATAAATGTACACAGTTGATATCTACAAAAAACTTAGATTGGCCCACTTCTTTCACCCTCACAAAAGTATAACCCCCATTGGTCAAAAAAAGTAACTTTTTTTCTTTTCTTTATTTTGAGACAAGAAAAGAAAAGAAAAAAAAAAAAGTAAATAAAGAACTTTACCGTAGCAGTGAAGTGTAGTCCGTATAGAGAAAAAAAAAAAAAGAAAAAAGCCTTGCGAGATATAAAATAATAATAATAATAAAACAAGAAATCAACTAAAAAGAGAAAAAAAAACGCAGAAAAAATCAAGGTGCACCTCCTCCATCAAATTTAGTGCAGAAGTTATCTCTACGCACAAACACAAACACACACGCATACATACAGGGTCAATATACATATCCCCCCTCACTATTTGCTTTATACGTCTTCGTCATCTCCAAATTTCTCCCCTCCCCACTATTGGAGCACTGTGATGATCCATTCATTAGTTGTCTTTGCATGGGACTAATGCTACGCTCTAGCTGTCGTGTCTCCTCCCTTAAATGACGTCGCATCTCATCAATGGGAAGCCGCATTTGATACTCAATTTTCTCTCGCTCCTCACGCAGGATGCTCCTCCGACCGTCACTGTAGCTGCGAAAGATTGGTTCCCTCGGCTTTCGGATCGGGGGCGATAACGAAGAGTAGCGAAGGGTCCGCCTCAAGAGAGACGTTTGACCCTTTTCTATGGAATCCAAGTTGTCGCCCCGCTTTGGCGTTGCATACGCCGCTCGTCGGTACCTATCATTCGTGCCATCCCCCCTCACGTCATAATCGTGATTGCCGTGACGGGATCTACTGCCATAGCCATACAACAGTGACTTCTTCGGATGGCCGGACCACATTGGCAGACCCCGTGGACTTTCTATCGTGAGCGCTGGCCGGGGATCATAGTGCGAGGGCCCCACGGCGCGCGGCGAGTTGGACGCATCACATTGTGGCCAACTGCCCTCATCCCCCAAGAGCGGGTGGCCCTCGAACGGCTCGGGTATTTCCGCCGGCAGATCAAGAATGTCGGGCTGGAAGAGATACACCTGACTGTTGTGCAGCAGCTGCGTTGACCGCTCAAGGCGATCCCATGTGCTGTGCACGTCGTTGAACACAACCGCCGCGCTTATGGCAAAAGTGCGGGGCACCGAACGGAGGCGAAATAAGTTGTTAAACGCCACGATAGAGCGGTTGAGAAGCTGCGCCACCGAAGGGCCGTAAGAGTCAAAGAGAAACCGCAGGTTGGCCTTCTCCCCATCGCAATCCGTAGCAACGCAGATGGAGTACTGCATCCCGCCCCTCTGCCTCTCCCCACACCTCCTTCTCTCTAATAATTTAAAAAAAAAAAAACAATACAAAAATACAACCAAAAAAAAAAAGATATCTTCTCTCGTGTCGTGTCGTCACCACCAGCAACGCCACTCGTTGGTTTCCGCCCTCAATTGTTTCAAAATCGTAAGCAGCAAAGAAGAGGTCGGCGCTTGGTGTTCGCCCCTTCTCTTTTTTCCTCCTGCAGCATGCGAGAGCAGAAAAAGCAAGAAGAAAAAAAAAAAGAGTAAGCACCGGTAAAATTAAAAACAAAAAAATAAATAAATAAGTAATACAAGAAGAAATCGCATGCATGGAGATATTATATAACGCAAACGTGCACTTCCTGGAAATCTAAGCGGAACACAACACGCCAACCGATCCCCCAAAGACCAATCAGGAAATTTAAAAAAAAAAAAAAAAAAGGTCTATCACGGCTAAGAATAAGGCGGCAACAGCTCCCTATTGTACCATGGTGTGAGCTCATCTTCATTCTGTAGCATTGACTCGTCAATGGTAATTTCGTCCATCAAAATTTCTCGCATGCGCCGCAGTGCGCAGTTCATACGTGTGGTGTCCTTTTCTGTGGAGGAGATACGAAGCAACTCTGCCGCAAGAACTCCTCTGCGTGCCTCCAGCGCACCAATGCGTGCTGAGACAAGACTCACCGCCCGATGATCCTCTTTCGCCTCTTTAATATATTCCTCGCTCAGTTCCTGCTTCAATGCCTCTCCGGTATTTAAAGACGCACTCAAAGAGGCCATCAAAAGCCGACGTATACTTTTTCTCTTATACTTTTCGATCTCCTGCCTCTTTGCCATCAGTTCCAACTCCCA